GCAAAGAGAAATTTCTTTTGTGGTTGTTTTTTTTTTTTTTTTTTTTTGGGGGGGAGGGGGGGAGGTTCTTTTGTTTTAAATCGCAGACATATCAGGTCTCTCTGGAAGGGTGTGAGATGAGCAGGCAGGCCGAGACATGGTGGCAGTGCCAACCCACTCCCCTTCAGCTGTGGCTGTGTTGCCTGGTCTTAACAAACAGGGCCAGGGATGAACTGGGAGTTTAAACAATACCAGTGTCTTACGATGACTGACGACAGAAAGACAGCGATTTCGGAGCCATGGCACACATCAATGTGCACACAGGTTTGTTTTTTTTTTTTTTTGACATCAAAGGTGTATTGTAGGTAACAGCCCAAGTCTGTCCATGCGCTGGGTTGTACATATAATGCTCTTGCAAGTGTACGTGACAAGGCGTTTTCTTGCAGAAGTGCACAGAGGACAGCATGTCTTGGAAAAGACACACTGCCCTGAACATTGCTTGCCTGTGACTTTTCCTTTTTTTATTTTTCTAGAAGGGGTAATCATGGCCATCAAGTGCTACCCAGAAAACCCCACAACAATCTATTTCCTGTCTTTAACTAAAAAAAAAAAAAAAAAAGAAATGAACGAAAGGCTTCTTCAAGATTTTACTTCTTATTTGTGTGGAAGTTGCCCAAATTTCTAAGTATGTTGCAGCAAAATCTTACTGGACGAGCTGGGGGGAGCGGGGAGGTTTTTTCCTTTGTATGAGAGCAAAGTGCTGTTGCTTTCACACTGTTATTTCAAACTGAAACAGTAAGTGGTTTTCATACCACTGTGTATGTAGATATATTGACTTTGTATTAAAGGAAGATTGTCTGAAAGGCCTGACTGCAAATCTGTTTGTTGGTAGGAGCGCGCAATGAATGAAGCAGTTGCTCTGTGTAACGCAGCAACTGCAAAAACCTTTTCGCTGGCGCCCACAGCCGGGTAGCAGGTTGCTCTCCCTCTGCTCTGCTTATGCTCCTTCTAAAAATAGGCCACCTTTACAAGCTGAACATGTTGTTGTAAAGAGACAAGCTCATTTGGAGAGCTTTTGGCCAAATAGCTGCAGTGACGCAGGCATAAGCTTGCTGCTAGTTTAGATATGGCAGCGTGGACTTTGGCACGAGCATACCCAGGACCATGGCCCAACTGAGAAGCCACGGGTGTATGGGTTATGCCCACCTTGAGGCTTAAAAACCTTTGGCAATCTCCATTTCTGCTGACTTGTCTGTGTTTCCCTTAAGTGGGACAGTGGCTTCAAAAGCAGCAGATCCTGTCCCCTTGCCTGCTCAGCCTGGAGACCAGGCGGGAAGTGGTTGCCAACACGCCTGAGCTAGTCCAGGTGCCGTCCTGGCTCTGGGGGACAGCTCCAAGCCTGCGGGCAAGTAGTAAAAATCTCAGTGAAGAAATGCACTTACCCACAGCAGAAGGCAGTGAAAGCCAAAGGTCCCAGTTGAAGCTCATGGCCACGGCAGACGGAGATCACCCTTGTCACATTGCCGGAGGTTCCCGTATCTGCGTTGAGGGGAATAGTCCAGGAGGAGGAAGCAGCTCACAGCTCCTCCGCTGCCTGGGAAAGCCCGTGCCTCGCGCTGCCATAACCTACAACGCAATGGGGTGGCAATGCTGAAAGCAGGCAACTTAGCTGCCTCCTCAATGCCAACATGAGCTGCTTAAAAATCTTTGTCCAGCTGAGCCAAAGCCTAATAAGCTAAACCACAGTCTTCAGCAGCTCTGTGGTAACAGTGGATGCTACTCACAGGTAAGCTCAGTCTGGGCCGAGTGTCCCACTTCATCCCAGTTAGACAGGAGCTAAGCGAGGAAAGGCTGGCAAGGACACAGGTTTTTGGAAGCAGCAGCAGGAGGATGATGGGAATATTATGTATCAGATATTTTTTCCCTCCCCTTTACAGATGGGCTGTGCCAGCACAAACCGTCTGCTTACTGGAATGACACCACCACCAGCATTTTGGCTCAAGCTTAAAGGGCGGGGCAGGAAGAAAAAAACAGCAAGTAGGAAGTTAGCATAGAACCCTGATCAAACATCAGGTGAGCCGTGAACCCAGGGAATTACATCACCTTCAAAACGTTGTTACTCCACATGATAGATAGAGCAGGTGGGGAGCCAAACAAACATCGAACAGCAACAACCTGATGGCACAGGATAAAAGGAGAAAGAAAAAAAAAAAAACCAAAACCTCCTGCTTTATAATTATGTCTCATGTACATGAGTACCTCCAGAGAGTTATATGAATAGTAATGATTTTTGACTCGTCATAATCTCCTGGATTCATAAAGATAATTTGTAGCACTGAGCTCTACAGATCAGCAGTAGAACACAGGACAGACACCTTTCATCAACCTTGGATCAATCAATGTGTTGATTTTGATGATTCCTTTATTTTATCATTGAAGAATAGAAAGGAAAAAATGATTTTTCTTCTAAGCTCTGTTCATCAGCCTCCTTACCTCCATCCTGTGCCTACCTGGTCTCCTGCACTCTCAGCAATACTATTCTTGTCTCTCTGTGACGCTAATCACACTAATCGCCACTCTCCGCTTATTTTTGTTCTATTCTTTTTTGAGCTGGCGTGACCAACCCCCGTGTTGAGATGCAAAACCCTTTTGAGATGCAAAACCCTTACAGAACAGAAACAAACACGACGGAGTACAGGAAGGTGAGTGACAAAGAGAATTGGAACAACAGCTGGGAACTAAGGACATCTTTCCAAAAAAACCCTGACCAATACAGTAGGAAGCCAGTTTGAGAAGCAAATCCAAAATGAAATCTTTTGGCACACAAGTAAGGCTTACAAAAGCTGCAAAGACTTACAGTGACGCCGAGTCCGCCTTGACTCTACAGCAGTGGTGATGGTCCTACAACAGCTCCTCTCGGAAGGCCAAGAAACACAAGCATCATTGCTAGGAAAATCCCATTACTGTCTTTGCCTTCCGCTTTCCATTGCATCACTCTATGCAAAACGTAAAACACATGAGAAGACATTTAAGCAGAGTCTGTAGCAGCGGTAACAAACTCAGCTCCCTCCTGCTCCTCACACCACAAGATCAGGAAGAGCACATGGGAGGAAAGAGGCAGCAGAGCCCTCTGTCCTTAGCCGATGGATGCACCGGGATGCTCTGGAGAATGATTCTGGCACAGAAAAACCCATCTTAGGTGTCCTGATTTGGCCATCCAGAGAAACCCCCACTGACAAGGAAGGGAGCTGGACACCCATCGCCAATAAATACCTCTGTGGTTCCCTGCAACCAGAACAGGCAGGGACACCTGGTTTGGATGTACCGCAGGTAACCAAAACAAAGTGCTTGGTGGTCACATCGCTCAGGGCCAGGCAGGGGCTGACTCGAACCATCAGAGCCAAATTGCGCTGGTCCTTGCACTTTTAGATACCTAAAGATATCTGCTCACAGCAGAAAAGCCAAAAGGACCATCAGGCAAAGAGCAGATACCATGTACAAGCTCCTAAGGGCAAAGAAGGATAACGGAGGACCTGCAAAGACCTGATCTCAGCTCCACAAAGACCTCCTAGCTGGAACACTTGCTACTTTGACTTAGCTCAGTGTAATTCATACTACAAAGCTTTTCACAGATTCGTTTTATCACA